AAAGAGTCTCTCCATGCTGCAAACAGCAATGACAGGAAGACCACAGGGAACTCCGTCACAGGGAGCCACGCTAGCCTTCTGGGGTCCGATGCTTTGCCCTTCAGGAATGTTGGACTGCACACTCTCCAATCCAGGCAGGTACAGAGTAAACCAACTGGAGTTTGCAACCAACCTGCACCCCCAAATGAAGGGAGGTTAAGTGAACTTTCTGGCATTCTTAAGTCTTCAAAGATTCACCGTGATATTATGACGACCTACCGCAAGTCTGGAAAATTGTTCAGGTCATGGGCCCGTGGGTCTCTTAGCTCTGCGTGATACTTAATACCTCCTGCGTGAAGTGTGCTGATTATGATTTTACTATGGTTAGCGCTGTGCCTGCCACATGATAGGTGCTTTACAAATTATTGTTCTTTCTGTCCTCTGCTGGGAATTTAATATAATCTAGGGTCACAGTGTTATGAACACAGACCAGTCAACGGATTACACATAGGCAAGCAATCTTCAATTGAAGATTTTCCTCTCCTTCCATGTGCTCAATTACTCCAAATCCATGTCTTCAAATTGATGGGAAAATGAGACCAGCTCTAAGGTAAGGAAGGAGGAGACGCACTTTGAAAATAAAACAAACAAAATCTGGCTAGGGCTCTGTTATAAAACGTTAACAGAGCTGTTGGGTGTTTCTAGTAAGCACCTAGGTGTCAACCTGTCAAGGTCTTTTTAAAAACGAAGTAAATAAAGAAAACTGATTTAAAAATTAAAGTTGGAGAGGAAATGATTGGTGAATAACATCTTCTTCCCCCAACGAATCTACATATGTGTGCATCCCTGGGCCCAGAGGACTTGCTTTCTGTAGCACAGGAGGAATTGACTGAAGTATCAGGAAACCTGCTTTGTTCAGAGAATTTATGGAGGAAGGTGAGAATATCTAAGACAGGAAGTAAAAGAAAAATCCTACATGCTACTTCTCTTTTGCTGAACACAAGGCAGAGATGGCTCTGGAAAACACTATTGTCTAAAATTAACTTCTTGGCTCTGATAAAGAAGGAGAGGAGAGAGTAAAGGCAATTATCACCAGATCTAACATCTTCTTGGACTTCTTCAGATGACCCCAGGCTCTCCTTCCTCATCGCTTCCCGCCGCCACACAGCACATCTCGTATGAGCATATCTCATGCAGGACCTATTACACCGTGATTGTACTTAAGAGACTGTGGGATCCAGCTCTGTATCTCCGGCCCACTGCCCATGACTGGCACACAGTAAACTCTCAGTAAATGTCGAATAAAAAATGTGTAAAGTTGGGGCACAAGAGTGGCTCCGTAGATTAAGCATTCGACTTCGGCTCATATGTAAAGTCAACTTAAAGATAAAATTTAAGAGCGGTCAGATAAAGTGCAAATGCAACCATGTCCACAGTAAGCTTGGAAAAGTAGGAGTTCAATTAGATCCAGAGTCTAGGCTGGGTCTTATGGGACAGGAGGGGACAAAGAAGAGGCTCTGGCAACCATGAATCCATCCTCCATGAGGATGCTAATGCCATGTTGGTCAGGTTATGCACAGAGAATTAGAATATGGCCCTGGGGAAAGCCAAAGGTTGACAAATCTTGGTCCGGACTGCTTATTTGAACTTCAGGTACTATTTCTAATTATAGTGATCTCAAGGCACATGAACCAATGGAAACAATATAGAACTGAAAGTTAAAGAGACGTGGGTTCTCCGCTTAATTCTGTCACAGCATGGATGAACAGGTAAAGATGTGGTATGTTTATACAATGGAGTATTACTCAGCAATCCAAAAGAATGAAATCTTGCCATTTGCAACTACGTGGATGGAACTGGAGGGTATGATGCGAAGTGAAATTAGTCAGTCAGAGAAAGACAAATATCATATGACTTCACTCATATGAGGACTTTAAGAGGCAAAACAGAGGAACATAAGGGAAGGGAAACAAAAATAATATAAAAACAGGGAGGGGGACAGAACAGAAGAGACTCATAAATATGGAGAACAAACTGAGGGTTGCTGGAGGGGGTGTGGGAGGGGGGATGGGCTAAATGGGTAAGGGGCACTAAGGAATCTACTCCTGAAATCATTGTTTCACTATATGCTAACCAATTTAGATGTAAATTAAAAAATAATTAATTTTTTTAAAAAGTTAAAAAAAATGTTGTCATAGCAACCTTGGACAAGACATTTTTCCTCTCAGATCATTAGCTTCCTCCTTGAATATAAAATAAGAGGATGAGACTAGATGAACTTTTAAATCCCCTCCAGGAAAATTCTAGAACTGCACAGTCCCTCTCTCTGTCTAGATTCCATTTTCTTACAAAACTATTTTCTTAACAGTTATGATACAGACGGAATTTGTCTTTTGAAAATAAATAGAGCATCTCAGCTGATGTTAAAAACAATATAGAATCCGAACATCCAAAATGAAAGAAGAAAAACGTGAAGAGTCTCAGAATGGAGGAATTGATCACAGCAGATCGGGTCATGAAAAGGAGATCCCCATTTAACGGTCTCCCAAATCTCCTGAGCATTGCCTGGATCAAAGAAGTTTTGACAAGATTCTTAGGCAATAAGGAAGTTGTCCAGAAGAGGCAAGAATTATCCATCCCATTTCATACAAAGGGAAACTGACATCCAGAAAGGAGAGGTAATTCACTCAAGATCACTGTGAAGATGAAGTCAGGCCTGACACTCAGGTATCCTGCCTCCCACCCAATTATGTTGCCCAAATCTGTTCAGAAAGAACCCACCATTGCTTCCAGTGACTGCGAGAATGTGGTGCTGTGACCCAGCGTAACTGGGTAGTGTCCTGGCCAACTTGGCTTTCAAAAGCTCTGCTGAAATCACACCTGCTATAGCACCGATCACTAGAGAAAGTGACCACGTGAATAACCCAGAGAGACTCTTTAGAAGTTTCCCTACGGTCAACGACACTTCCACTGGCCTTGCGTCAGGAAATCTATCCGGTTTCCATCCCTTCCATCTGTCACCTTAGGCTTTTGTACATCACGTTCCTTCTTTGGGAGTCGAAGAACTTACTAGAGAAACTCATAAAGTGTAAAACGATCCTAGATCACCATGCAGAAACGACGGTTAGAGGAATTTTTGGTATCGGTATCACTCATTACCTAAAGCAATTATTTTTATCTACTTTTTAAATTAAATTTTAAATCTACTTTTCATATATGTTAGAATGTATAGAATAGTGTAATGCAGATACATGCCATTCTTGTAAACATCACACATGTATGTATGTACATATATGTATATTACGTATATATCTCCTTCAGTCTAGCTGGGAAAATCTGTTTCAAAATCAACTCCTGCTCTCTCCTCGGACTTGATATATAGCCAAGCAGGCCTTTCTCGATTAACACAGCCGCCTCCTGGGAAAAGTCACAGAATAACTTTATTGATTTCCCTTTACCCTTCTCCGCATTTCTCTGCTGAAATGTTGTCTTAACTCTTAAATGTAAAAGCAAAAAGAAAAGAAAATTAAAACAAAGAGATACGCTTCCTTTAGGACCACGTTGATTCTCTTATATTTTTTTCAGATTTTCTAAAAAAGATTTTTTTTGAAGAAGGAGAGAGTACTTGTAAAGACAAGGGAGGATTAGGTTCTCCAAGGTTTTTGTGCAACAGATTTCTTTACATCGAAACCTGTGTTTTGCACACAATGCTGGACTCAATGCTACACAAACCACTTCTCCTCGTCTCTCATGACTTGGCCAGCCAGCTCTGAAAACTGCCAAGGCTTTCTGGCGAACAATCCCTCCAATGTTTCCAGGAGCCTACCCAGTGCATAGGAATATAGCGAACGTTTATTTCTCATCAGATTTTTCTACCTCAAAAGATTCGCAACAAGATTAAGTATCTTATTTAATTAAAAGAATTTTTTTTAGGATTCAGTATTTTAAAAATCAGAAAGTTCTTTAGGAGTTTCTCTGATGGCAGCTTTAGAGAGGTCAAAAAACGAGGCCCTCTCGGCTACCTTTCTGCTTGCACCTCTCACGGTGACCCGGACAGATGAACCCAGAGCCTCATTCTTGTTCTCCTTCTGGCTTCGGAAGCGCCCCGTGCCCTCGATTCTGACCATGGGGCTGGAGTGGGGTCAGGGTAGTGGAAGGAAGAGAAGGGAAATACTGTAATGCCTTAGAGTAAAAGCTCTAACAAAACACCGTTTGCATTTTTGTCACTTCCCTCCACCAACTCCACAGATTTAGTTCTATTTGCTCTAAGGCCTGAGTTCATAAAAACCTAGTAGAATTTCTATTTCTTTGGGCTCTCTTTGCTGTCACCCCCAGCTTTTCCTGCAAAGGGGAGGAAGCGGATGGACTTATTTACAACATAACTGCGATCTGATTCCTCCCCCACTTTAAGCAAATAAAGATGCCTAGTGAAATGAACGGATTGTGTTCTTTAAAATTGAAAACGCATGTGAACGCATCACCCGTCAGAAACAAGCTTAAGGAAAGTACAGGAAGAAAATGAAAGGTCTGCGAATAAACAAGGTTACAGTGATGTACACTGTTGGGTACAATTTAGTAGAGCAATTATTAACAACATGACAAATATCTGCCTCCAGTGCACAAATAAAAGGCACTCAAAACCACAAAAGGGTAGTGATGTGCTATGCTGTCCTGAGGTTTAATCACAGAGCTTTTGTTTTGTTTTGTGGGTGTGTGTTTTTTTAACAAAATACCATTTCCCACTCCCCCCCTCATTAACTTGGAAGCTTAGTTTTAATTAAATGCCATTTTATTTTTTAGTGGCCAGTTTATCTTTTCTTTTCCATTTGGTTTCTCTGCACAATGTGAATCAGACAGTGATTTGGAAGCGTTATGGGTAAAAGTGGGTAGAAAAGCATGCTAAGAATTGGGTCATCTTGTTGAAATCAAGTTCACTTCTGTGTAGTAGAGCAGGAAGAATGGGGGGAAATCTGCCCTAATATCTTGCTGTATCTGTCCCAACTTCCTCCTTTCATAGGGCCTCAGCAGGGGGAATTATGTAGCAATGCAATTTGCATCCTGGTTAAATAGGAAGGTCTCTGGAGCACATTTTCAATAACACCCCCCCTCGTGGCAGAGGAGCCAAGATTGTACCTTGTAAGAGGAAACACTGTTTCTTTAGGCAATACAATATAGGCTCTTTGTTGAAACTGGCAACTGTGTTCTAGTGACAGGCAAGAGGGTCCCTTCTGCCTCTGGATAAATGGCATAATGGCCAGAAGCTTGTTCTAACCAGGCAGTACAAAGTCACTCTCAGTTTCCAAGATCGAATAGAAAGGTCCCTCCTGGCTTCCTGCAACACCCAAATGGAACACAACGCATCCACCATAATTTTAAGTTACAGTGTAAGAAAGTTCAGAATCAAACACTCATTCATTCATTCATTCATTCAGCAAGTTTCTATAGGGCAACTCATATAGACTGGGCTCTCCTTACGCACAATGTTAAGTGGAAGAAGAAAGATTACATCCTGCCCTTCTCTTCTTCTCAACTCCTACTATCCTTGGTATTTTCCTTGATTTCAAGTGGCAACTCATCAAAAATCCTCAGCCGATAATAGCTTCCAAGGGTTCCCGTATTCATTCCAACCTCTTCTAACCTGCCTCCACCTAGAGTATCATTTGATCTAGGTTTGTGTGAATAAACATTACTAATTAATACGAAGTCTTGATGATGTCCTCTCAAGTTTGATGCTCAGACTACAAAGAAGCTCTATCTTCTACCTAAAGGTAAGAAATCTCCCCATGTTGATCTCTGACATCTAAACAGCAGGGATACTTTTTTTTAGATTTTTTTTTTCCCAAATGTGAACAGCCCTGGGAGTATTTGCTTCATTTCTTAGTCAGCAAGAACCTAGAGCTGTGGATGCCTGAGGGAGTCATTCCAACCGAGACTAGAATTTCAAGAGAGAAAATTTATCCAGCTACCTTGTCTGGTGCTTATAATGCATGAAAGTATCAACCTCCCCATGGCAGACTACAGGGAATGATCAGTGTGAAGTAAGTCATCTCCTCAAAGATGTATTGCAATAATTTCCCTGCTGAAACGGCAAGTTCCTGACCATGGTATTGTACACAAATAATAAATAAACAAATGCCATTATGCTGTTGTTGTTTTCCACACTGGGAAGACCTCAGAACATCTTGCTTCGACTGATAGGCTGGAATCGTTGAAAAACTTGCCTCCCCTTCCTAGTTCTTTGGCTAAAGTGTATCGGGAAAATGGTGCATTAGTCATTATTTCTAATTGGGAAAAGCCTGATTATCAGGAGAACCCTGGTTAGGTGATTTGTAGAGTACTATTGTGTTGAGAGCCAAGAGACTTAAGGTAGAAGCATCTTAGTTAGCAATAGCAGAGAGGCTATGCAATTGGATCTGGTGTTTCATATATCTACTATCAAGATATATTGAACAAGATGGGCGCCGGGGTGGCTCCTGAGCATCTGACTTCGGCCCAGGTCACGATCTCACGGTTTGTGAGTTCAAGCCCCACGTCGGGCTCTGTGCTGACAGCTCAGAGCCTGGAGCCTGCTTCTGATTCTGTGTTTCCTTCTCTCTCTCTGCCCCTCCTTGGCTTGCACGCTGTCTGTCTCTCTCTCAAAATAAATAAACATTAAACAAAT